TTTTGACCATTTTTATTAATTAATGTTAACGTTATTTAGCTGCTATAAAAAGTCAATAAAAACAATAAAGGGATAAGGAAAGGGAAAAAAGGGTATTAGTTTTATGTAAGTTGATTTTTTGTTTTTGTTTATTGTTTAGTGTTAACAGAGTGAAAGATCAACTTATAGCTGTTTACTTAAGCAAACATCAACAAACACCATTGTTCATTGTTGTAGTAATATGCGCTAAATCACTAAATTTTCTTCTCTTAAATTTTTTGTTAAGTTCTTGTGGGTTTTTTTAATGGGAGAACGAGAGGTGTTCTGTTAGAAAATAGTACTTTTTGATTTCAACTGTAATACTGCTGCCACTGATGGCGAAATGTAAGTGGAGGCACCAAAATTAGTCAAACCAAAAGAATGCTTAGCCAAAAGTTTACAGGGCATTCAGTAGCACTATTATATGCATTCATTTTGGGGACAACTGAAAAGAACAAAAAACTTATGAGACCAGAAGTGATACAAATATAGTACCTAAATTTTTTGTTCCCAGCATCTGATAAGGAGATTAGCGAAGGAAATGTTACATTGACTATTAATAAATCACCGGCAGAATAACTATTAAAATGGCTTATATCTGGTAGAAATGACGAGTGCTGATGGCTAAAAATTCTGTATCTAAAGACAGATGTTAAGATGCAGTGCTATAAGTGTTGTTCGGCAAATGAAGAACAAGGAAGAGTTTTTAAACAGTAAACTATTCTTGTATAGGTATGAAACTGACTATTCAGTCTACCTTTTACTGCTGTTATAATTGGGAAACTATTATGGAACCAAAAGTAATAATTTTTTTTACTTGGCAACATAACTTAAACAACCAATTAGTTATTCCCTGCTTTTTTTTTGTCGTTGTTATACCATTTTGTTGGCTGTTAATTCTGTTTTTTTATTCTGATTTCTTTTTTTCTGTAAGAATCTCAAAAGTTTGGCAGCATTAATAAGTGTAATTTTAAAATTTTTATGCATTATTTGGAAATGTCTAAAGGAGAAGAAAAAACAGCTATAATTTGTTTGATTCTTTTATGCTATTATAGTCAATATATTCCTGTTGTCTTTCATCATCAGTATCATTATCATCATTGTCGTTGTTGTCATCATCTGCAGAACAGTTCTTGTTTTTTTTTTTTCTTGGCACCACTTTCAGATTGATCTTATTAAACTTTAGCAAAAAAAAAAAGAAACAAGAAGGTTTAAGGTTTTTGGTTCTATCTAATAAAAAAAGTAGTGTACAGAAGCGCTCAAAAGTCTTATGATTTGAGCCCCCCATATGTCAGTGACGCATTAATGACTGCTATTACTGATTGCTGATAATAACAGAAGAATAGAGTTGAATGAAACTTTAGGATAGTTTTCTTCTTCAGCTTTTTTTGCTTGTTTGTCTACTATTACCTTATTACTGATTAACTTTTGACTTTTAGACTAATCTCTTAATTTTTAAAGACATTGCTTTACGGTTTTTTTGACCACCAAATACAGTCTATCTTCTTCTTTTGCCCTAAATATAGCTATAGCTATGATGAAGCGAAAAACTACAGATAAAAAAAGAAAAAAATTTTGTTTTTTTTTGAATGGATTGCTGCTTAACTTTTTTGAGGAAGACTAATCACTAATAAAAAATAATTCAAAACTTTGAAAAATGTTGCATAATGAAATTTTATGAACAGTTTAACAAGTATCGAGTTTTGTTAAAAAAAAACATCTGCATCTTTCGTTTCAGTTGTTTCTAGAAATAACTTCTAGCATTAACTGTCCTTTTACTTTTATTTGTCTTATCTCAACAGCTTTTTTTGCGCTACTGTTTTTTTGATCAAAATGTAGTACTAATTGACCAAATTGGCTATAATTTTTAAACCATACCACTGCTAATAAACTGCAAAAATTTTAGCTACATTTGCGAAGCTGTAAAGTTATGGAATGCTTTAATCTTTCGTTTAAGGTATAATAAGCAAACATATCTGTGTCAACTTCTGTTCTCTTTCAATTGATCTTTTGTGTTTTATTTGTTTATCTGTTACTGATAGAATTCTGCTGAATATCGATAATAATCAATTAGCGTTCTGAAATGACAGAAACCAAACCAATTTAAATGTTGTTTAGTGTTTCAGTCAAAATTTTATGGAACATACAATCGTGTGGATCAAAACTGCGCATTTGCTAATTCTAGTTCAAATATTCTGATTAAGTCGACAAAACTTTCGACGTATTTATGTGTTTGGCCAGAAATTGTTTATATCAAAAGCCATTTTCTTCTTGTAAGCTTTCAAACAGTAACCGTTTTATACTTAATTACTTATAGAACAAAATAATGACAGTTTTGAATAACTGTCAAAACTTTGAGAACAGTTAATACTGCATTTAATTCATAACTGCGTTTTATAAAAGCCGAAGAAATAGATGAACAAATAGCAAAAAAGTTTTCGTTCTTTTAAACTTATTTTATAATTTTGAAGTGTTTTGAACTTATACTATAAACTGCTGAATCGGAATAGAGTGTTTAAAATTACTGTTGCCTCGTTTAATTTTTCCTGTGATTTTACTCAGGTTATAGGTTAGTTAGGAATAACGAAAATCGAAAAAACAATTCCACTACAGGGAAAAGTCTAGAGAGGACAAAAGACAAGCAACAATTGAGGCAGAAAAGAAAAAAAATCATAGAAAATAAAACTGGGTTCGGAATCACAGCTATTGATGGACACCCTAAATGGGTCAGTTATTGGCGCTGCTGAATCGGCGTTAAGTGTATATCGATGGAACTCCGTAAGTCCATCAGCTTTGTCAGAAACAGACGAAGACGACGGCTTCTGTAGGCCAATAAAGACCGAAGAACGCTACGATTTAGACGACGATTTTGCTTATGCACCGGTGACACCAGAGTCATCAGAATCAGTGATTAAAGAAGCACCAGGTTCAAATAGTCCAATTACTACAACGATTCCATTGGCTTCGTGTGAAACTGCAGCAGCGTCACTTTCATCAGCATTTTGCAAACGATCAAATGCATTTGGAAAACCGGTTAGACAAGTCAAAACTTTCACTTTAAAAGAGTTTTTTTCTAAAGAAAAAACTCAAATTTTAATTAATATCTTTTTACTTATTTCTATTTGTTTTATTTTTAACGTATATCGCTCTAATTTGAACTTGAAACAAGCAGAAAAAAAAAGCATAATGGTGATTCTAATCAAAACAAAAAAGGAAAAATTAGCAAGAAGATAAATTTAAGAAGGATATTTAAAGATAAATAAATTTCTATATTTTAGTTTTTTTCTTGAAGACTAAAAAATTAAATATCTGTAGAAAAATTGAACAAAAAACTTAGAATTATCAAAAGTTAAGATAATGAAGTGATGAAAAAAATTATTGAATTTTTTTTTTCTCACCGTCTCTTTCTTAACCTCCTTAGTGATCTTGATGAGAACAGTAAAACAGTAAGTGTTAGCTGCTGCTATATATTAGGCGGTAACTGTTGAGGGGGGGACAGAGTTATCAGAATTTTATGCTGTTCAAAAATTGTTCAAATAATAAGTGGCGATCATTGTTTTAACGGCTGCTATGCACAAACAGTAACCCGTTTTTTTTCTCCCTCAGTTGCAGCTGAACATCACGAACTGAGGTTTGGTGCATCTGCATGATACCACAATAAGAAAATGGTAGATAAAAGGAGCAAAATTATATGTTTAGATGTTTCACTATCTTAATTTGCATTTTTAGTTCAGTAGACAAATGAATAATAAAAAACAGAAAAAAAAAAA